ATTAGTTTATAAGAAAAGGTTGGCATGAAGCAACTAAAATTTGGATTTTGACTCGCGGGAATTTATCTGAATTCTTTCTAAAATAAGGTAAGTGAAAAAGGTTTTATGGTGAACACAATCAAGAAATAAAACCGACATTGTCCTCTCCCGATTTCTTCTTTTCTTTATGGCAAAATTTTAGTTTTTTTTAAAGCTAATAAAATATCGTGCATTTGACTAATAAACTAGATATATCAAAAGATCTTGAATATAATTCCGGATGTATCATGTATGCATCATAGATTCCGGTAATGAAGAAGATTCATAGTCAAACTAGACAGTAATAGTACTCTTGTTAATATGATGACGCATGCATTAAGTAATTGATAACTTCAAATGACGAGAAGATGACATGATTATATGATAGAGAGAGCATGAGGATTCTAAATATGGGAGAGTCTAGGTCGCTGCCTTGCAATGCTTGCTGTAAATCTGGATACATGCTCTATTATCCAGTTGAGTTGAGAGGCGTTGTAGAAGGACTTCGGTTGGCATACTTGGATAACTGGCCATATCGTCACGTTTGCGTCGAGCTGGATTATCAGTGTGCTGCTATGTTGCTTAGCTCGACAGAAAGCACATGTCACCAGCATCGAACAATCACTGTTTCGAGCTTTTAGAGAACTGCTCGCCCGTCCATGGGAAGTTACCATTGCCCATGTGTTTCGACCTTCGAGTGTGCTACTCAATGACACAATTTTCCGTTTGGTTTACGTTGTATTTCGCCTACAGATCCATATTACATCAATGAAGGGTAGGGTGTCGTTGCATGTAGTTATAAGAAGGTAAATATGGAAGAGTCAAAGAGGTAAGGAAAAAATTAAAAAAAAACAGACCAAATTAAATCAGCAGGGGTACGGTTCACATTGAAGAACCGCTAGTTTTCTCCCTCTAGATGTGGAAAAGACGTGAAACGAAACCCCAAAACCTTCGAGAACGGACAAAGAAACGTCACCGTTTCCGTTCCCACCTTCGTCGTCCCCGACTCACTGTTGCCCCGCGGTCGGTCTGGCATCGAGAGTATAGAAAGAGTTGACCTGATTGGATTGTGATTGGACTCCAGCTGGAGTCTTCCATTAGATACAGAAGAAGAAGACGTCAATCAATCTTCCCGACTCAAACCGTTGTTGTTGCTGCTGCTGCAAGACAATGAAGCAAGCTAGCTAGCTGGTTGACTTCATCGTCGATCATTAATGGGTTGATTCTACCTACTGCCAAGTACGTAGTATCTCTGGCTGTCCCCATTCTCACTAACAGTTATTGCATTGGTTTGCTTTCCTACTACTGCAGCAAGCAACAAACCAGAATTTAACGTTCTACATGTATCAAGTGCTTAACAAGTTGAGGTCACGAGAATTCGAACAGAATACCTCTCGCTTACATAAGACGCAGATACCACGACGTTTAATTATGGACCATATACAATTTACTAACAAAAGCAAAAACAAGGGTTCTGTCTAAGTGAATGAAGAGTACTGCATGAATGTTGGACCCAATTGCAAGTGTTGACACACAGCAGCACAACAACATTCTGTACATCTGCAATTTGTTCTAAAGCCTAGTCATCAAACAAGCTTAAAGCAGAATTTATAGTAAAAATCATTCTGTTCTATGTACAGCCACGAATCACTCTCGACATGGTTGAGGCGTTGTCACTTTCGATCTGGATGAGGCATTCGCACGATATCAGGCTCCACGATCTCCACTCCGAGTCTCCAAGAAGCCGTGCTTTACGTTGTTTTCTTCGGCTGCCATTCTCGGAAGCACAGATGGAAACGAGGAAACTCCAAAATCAAGCACCTGGTTGTATCGAGTTTAATCCTGTTCTGCTACCAATATGCTCTGCCACTGGCCGCACATGATAAAGGATAGTCCTCTTCTCCATCATCCTGAAAGATGAGACAGTAGTCAACAAGTCAGTTGGACGGACCTATAGCTGAAATTACCTAAACATAAGTCAGATAACCGTGCCAGGCGTAGAGAAGTGCATAGAAAGATAAACAAGTCTTGGTAAGAAGTAAGAACATCACGAAACAACCAACAGGTGGGGAACTCATTTTTCTGACTAGGATATTCGCTATACAAGCAAATCTTAGACGAGGAGCTCTCTGTTTTGGAAACCTGCATATCTTAAGACTTCAGCAGATAGAGCAACATCAGAATAAGTGACGGCTCTATACAGGAAACTGTTTATCAGCATTAAGCAAGAAATCCAGCCTATGGAATTTAGAACGATAGTAGGTTCTGTTGCTCACTACGGGAGCTTAAAAGGGTGTGCAGCACATCAAGGAGCAGGGCTATCACACAAGGAAACTGGATCGCCTCACAGTGAGTCGAATGATATTTGTTGTTTATTTCGAAAGGCTTGAGCTAGGTGATTCTATGAGGAGGCCTGTGTTGAAGCTGGACTCTCTCAGTTGGAGAGAGATAAAGAGAGAAATCTCTTTTCCATAGATGCTCAGAAAGATTTTCAGTCACAAGTCACACCAGAGTCAAAGCATGTATAAAGTTAAACATATAGGTCGTAGCTGAACCCCGGGGTCAAGCTAAAACTACAAAGACAAGATGAATTGAACGTAAAAGCTAATAGGCTATTTTCATTGTCTGAGTTTTGAATGGATTGTGAAGGAATTACTAGTTATCTGGTGAGCGAGAGGCCACCTAAAGAGACCAACTATGCCAAGTCTTCACCTTATGCAAACTCATGAGCCTCACAGCAACCTAATGAAATGAGCTACGGAAACTAAAAATCTTCCTGTTCATCACGATCACAGAACAAAGAAGCATTGTCCAACGTTGTACTGACGGCCTTATCTGTGTGCAACGTCTTGCCAGCTTCAACATCTTGCTGCATTGACACAAGAGCAAGTTAATTAAACAAATACGGTAATCAGCTTGTCCATACATCAGCATATCTCCAACAAATTGTTGGAAAATACCATATCAATTCAGACTTGACCAGTTCAATTCTCTTTTGCAAATCTATAGCATGGTGCTTCAGTGCCTATAGAAAGGAATATATTTAAACTGAATTCAGAGAACCAAATGCTAGATTACCATAAGAAACATAATAAACAAAGAATAATATACTGCAAGAGTACCTCCTCTCTGAAGTTCAACGGACCTAGCCAGTGCTTGTCTCCTGGACATCAAATTTTTAGGCTTCACACCAAGACGGCATTTATAATTCTTCCCATTATAAGCTATAATCACACAGCCTTAGCATTTCTCCCCATTGCTACTAGGACTCCCCCACTTGCAGCTTCCAAAGAAATTGTAATATGTTTGATTTTGCAGAGTTTTTGCCAGCCAAAATTATCTCACTAGCTAGTGGTATTTCCAATGCAAGTGCTTGTTCTCTATGATACAATCATAACCTCTCGCCTTCCTGGAATAGAAATCCCCGGTCAACATTTCAATCTTTTCAATTAAAAGCATCTAACTTTATCTACGAAAGCAGGTGGTGTTCTTTTACCTAGAGGGGGATATGGTTTCATTCTCAAGCCAATCTGTCCAAACAAGAATATATGAACATTCGATGAGTTGTTTTGCTAGCCGATGCTCCTGTACTTTATAAAAAGGCTTCTTCAGTTCACCATTTGCCTATATGAGAATGAGATTACATGCACTATTATGTTTTGCTTGCGATGTTTGATGGGGGCCATTTGCCTGACCGACCCATCTTGAACACGCTGTAGGTAACTTAGTTCCTGAATGTCCTTCAGTGTGTCCATAACCACAGGTAGCAAAAAGTCATTACCCCTGTAAAATACAATAATGTCCTTGTTTTTAGAGAGTTAATCACTGCAGGAAAAGCAAAATGCAAATATCAAAAAGAGGGGGGAAAAGAAACATTAGTGAAAAGGGAGACCTTGATCTTTTCTATTGTATCTCACCTTCAGTTCGTCAGTCATCCTATCATTTTGGGTATTTTTCCACGCTACGTTGATAGTTATCTTTGCCATGACTCTTTGTTCCCATGGTTTCACAATAGCCTTAGCCAGACCATGCAGGGTCTCTATTCCTGGCTATCGAACAAATCAAACTTAGGAAAGGAAAAGCATTTAAAGCTAATATGACTGCAAATAGCAACAAAAAAGAAAGAAAAAAACAGCGTGTGCTATGACATTACCCAGAGCAAAATGTGAAGGCGTCCTTGCAAACCTGGAGAATTTTGTTGTCTCCCCGTCTCGTAAAACAATGTTTCAACTTTCACCCCATGAGAAGAAGCCTGAACAGAGATTTGTATCCTGGGCAACAGCAGGAAGCCATTCAGCATCAACATGCAATAGCCTACTGCTATACCAGTCCTTGAACCTTGGTCCTAATCCATCTAACAAATGTTCAACTCAGTGAGTTCCATGAGTTTGTTCTTTGAGAAATCCTTGAAACCCTTTGCCAAATTCTCTACAGTGGGCTCCGGGATTCTCACAAGTCCTTTGGTTCCTTGGTCAGCTATAGAATCATCAATCTTCACTGCTTCATTAGATGGAGAAGCTTCCATAATAGCCTCTTTGTCTTTCACGTAAGATCTTACACGTCAGGATCGATAGCTCATTCCTCCATACAATACGACTGAACTCCTTGAGCTCCATATCACCAAGCCTCCAGTTCTAATCTGCATCAGTCAACAACTCCGTCACATAACATACTAAAATTACATTGCGTTCTGCATATAATTACAGCAGTCATATCAAAGAGCATAACAACAAGCAAGTTCATGTAGAATAATGCATAGTAGTTTGGATGGATAAAGAAAAAAATTGCAGCTTTAAATACACACCAGGAATGCAAAATCCCATTTCAAGACAACTGGGGCAAACTTGAAGTCGAAATTATAGTTTTTACCCCCAGAAACTATGATTGGATTACTAAAAGGTAAACTCAAATATGAAAACAAGTAATGACAATTCAAAAGACGAGACTAAAAGCACCATTGTGCCCCCGTTAACTTTGAGGCTCTATGTCGTACCAAACCTATTGTCTTGAGGGATCAACCCGATCATTTCCTTTTGTGCGCTCATCCTCTTGAATTCTCCCCTTCTAAGTTGTTCTTTGCCATAAGCTCTCTGACAATCTAAAGGGAACAGATAAAACTTATAAATAGACTGATAAATTAGTTGGCATAGAGAGAGAAAATAACACAGGATGGAGGGGGACAAGGAAAAGAAAAGAGTAAGTTGTTTCCAAACCTGTAGTATCAGATGGAAGTTGTCCCAACCAAACTCATCCCAGAGAAACTGGCCGTCTCTATTTATATAGATGCGATCAAGTGTGATTTCCGGAACGTGCGAGATGTAGCGCCAATTCAAAGTCTCCTCCAGCCCTGAAAAAATTCCAATTCTAAGCTCTTGCAGGGAAGTGAGGTGTTGCATCCCTCGCAGCCAGTCTCTTGGAGGGTCATCGACGCCATAGATCTGCAGTTTCTTCAGTTTGGACAAAGGGTACTGCATCAAGTCCACTTCACTTGAAAATGAAGAAGAACAGCTTGTGTTTCCTACCGACGACGATGGGACGTTCATTGTGCACAGTAGCGGTTCTAGGCTAGTTCCAACCAATTGTAGACCCTTATCAAGTGTTGGAAATAATGGCATCTTCGTCAGCAGAGGGCACAACATTAAGGACAGTTTAGAAAGTTTAGGAAATTGGGGCAGCTTCCTCCTGCGCCATCCCTTTAGTTTGGGGCAATTATGCAATCCAAGTTTCTCGAGGGAAGGGAAGAATGGCTTGGATGTCTTCTTGTGTTTTGTACCTTCTTTGGCCAGCACCCAGCATCTGTCACCGTCTTCCTCTTCATCTTCATCTTCATCCATGAACTCTAGTTCAAGGAACCTCACAATAGTAAGCCTTCGAAGGACCGGCAATTCTTGCAACTGGTGCAAACCATGGCGCACTTTGCACCAATACAATGAAAGAGTGACCAGGTTAGTGAGACAAGAAATCCAACTTGGACATTTCCCTCCTTTGTACTGAATCACCTCCAACGATTTCAGACAGGAGCTCGGTTGGAGGCCTTCTAGTAAGCTCTCATCCCATTCAGCATCTTCTTCTGATCCCGTCAAAACTTCTTCCCGCCCAATCTCTTCCCATTCACCATTATCAAGACCCCACCCTAGTATCAGAGTTTCAAGATGGGGCTTCCCCATCAAATTAGCAGCCGCACCAAGCTCAAATGCGAGTAATGGTGACGGCGACAATACCCCCGCTCTGCTTTGAAGGGCTCCAAGATTCGCAATTTCGAGCCGGGCTCTTAATTTGTCTAGCCTATGTAGCTCATCCAACCCACCTACTGTCTGCTTAGAAGTGAAACTATCCTCCTTTCCCACCACAAAATATGGCAATACTTCAAGACGAGTTAGTTCACCCAACCCCATCGGCATGTGTGTCAAGGCGAAACAGCCTCTGCATGCCAGGATCCAGAGATTCACAAGTTTGTTGATATCTCTTGGCAACTCTTGAAGACTACTACACTCAGAAAGCCGCAGAGCTTGTAAGTTCTGTAGCATGGTGATAGAAGGTGGCAGCCGGGTTATCTTATTGTTTAATGAGATATCCAAATAGCGAAGATGTTTTAGTTCTTGAATGTCGTCTGACAAAACTTCCATCCCAGAGTTCCAAAATGCAAGTATACGCAAACTTGGAAATTTTGAAATAAAAGATCTGAAGGTAGACTCATCCCAACTCGTTCCAGACTGATACCACTCTTTATACACAGAAAAAAAGGTTCGCAATTGTTTGGCTTTTTCTAGGTGGCCTACAAGCTCTGTAGGACACCACAAATCATGGCTCAATGACATGTGATAAGTGGTTTTACTGATTGTTGCTGTAGGTTCATTTATTTCTGAGTAATTAGACCCAGACACTGAGACTGCAAGATCATGGATTAAACCATGCATTCGACAAGTTTTTATACTATTAGACCCGTCTCGTTTTATTTCTTGAAAGAAGGACCTCCATGTCAAATCCATAAAATACTGGAGACCTAAATCATATAGACTCTGTTTGGTATCTTCAGGTGATGACTCAATAAACCCCAATGCGAACCAATGAAAAATTAGTTCGCGGACAGAAATGGGAAATTCTTTAGGATACAAACTACAAAGCAGGAAGCAACGTTTCAAATGCGAGGGAAGGTAGTGGTAGCTCAGCTTTAGATTATGTAGCATGCTATTCTCATGCTTGGCACTTAAAAGTTCATTGGATTGAAGGAAAGACAACCACTCAGTTTGAGGATCTTTAAAACACAACAAATTGGCTACTGTTTTCACAGCTAAAGGTACCCCGGCAGACTTTTTCATGATTTGTTCTTTAATCTCCCCCACATTAGATATGTTAAGTGGTTCCTCAACAGCTAATTGGTGGTTACCACCACCAGACATGACCTGCCTAAACAATGACCATGATTGTGGTGAGGATAGGCCGCTCAAAGCATACGGTGGATCTGGAGAACCACGACTCATCATCTTTGCAAAGTTCTCGAAACGTGTGGTGACTAAGATCTTGCTCCCACTGGCACCGCTCTTGAGCACAGATCTGAGCATATCCCACTCCTCGGGATTAAAGTTCCACACATCATCAAGCACAAGAAAGTATTTTTTCCCACCAATGAACCCCCCAAGGAGATTGGTTAGTGCTTCGGGCTCAAGATCTTGTATCTTCTCCTTTGTAGCTGATTCAAGAATCTTTGTGGTAATCACTCTGAGCTCAAATGACCCAGACACACAAGCCCATATCCTCAACTTAAAATGCTCCTTAACTTGCCTATCATTGTAAATGAGCTGAGCAAGTGTGGTTTTCCCCATCCCTCCAATGCCAAATATAGAAACCACAGAGATCTTCGGGCCATTATCGGCCAACAGAAGAAGTTGCTTAATATGATTCAGGTCATCTTCTCTCCCAACAACTATGTCAGGGATGGAAGAAATGGTGAGGGTATGCTTCACCATTTTGCCTCTCTCCTCGAAACGAGGATTCAGATGCAATTTGGTGTTATCATCATGTATATCATCCAACTGCTCCCTAAGACTCTTGACTTTATGAGCCATTTTAAGACCGTAAATCACCCGACTCGGGATGGAGAAAAGGAAGCGTACCACAGTCCAGCACCTGCTGGAGTCATCTCGATCCCGTGCAGCTGCTTCCTCCCGCAGAGCTTCAGTGGCAACATCATCAAGTAGATCCTCCGCATCTAGGAACAAGAGCTCCAGCTTCTTCTGGAGCCAGTCTTTGACCTGACGGCTATGTTCTTGCTGCTCCTCTGCATCAAGTAGAAGTGCCTGAATGGCGGTCAGGGTGCCATTCATCTTCTCGAGTTCACCTTGCAGGTTCCACATCAAAGCCGCCTCTTGCTGCACAAGAGGACCCAGTTTCTCCAGAACTGTTTTGCCAATGCTAAAAAGAGAACTAGAAGCAGCCATTTCTTTCTTGGCTTTCTCCTTTTTGGTGAAGGGGAAAGAGAGAGAGAGAGAGAGAGAGAGAGAGAGAGAGAGAGAGAGAGAGAGAGAGAGAGAGAGAGAGAGAGAGAGAGAGAGTAGAGAGAAATTGGTTGGTAATCTGGTTCGTCAGGTGATGAAGCGGAACTGCAACCCCCTTAGTTATACAATAACTAACTAGCCTGTTGAAGTCAAGATCTTGGTTGATTAAGTTATTAATATGCTGACTGTTGAAGATAATGGAGGGTTGGTGGCTATCCATTGAGCCGCCAGCCGCCCAAGTTGCAGAAATCACGAGTATTGATAGTTTCTGCTTGGATTGTAGGTAATTTGGTGATTTCCAGCCTCAAAGGTTCTATCTCCCTCACAATCTAAGCAGAAACTACATCCCCTCGCTTAATACTACTTTAGGGTTAATTAATTCATCTCGCTAAATGTTCGAAGCCATACAAAACGAGCTTCCTATACCGAAAGCTTTCCTGTTTAAACCTCCAATGGCGAGAACTAAAAACATCCAGACGAGGACTATCACACACACCAAAAAAAAAATCGCAGAAACGAGAAGACGAAGGGAGAGAACAGATAGACTGACCTAGCTCGTTGAGAAATTAACATCTCAAGGCCGCAGCGGGAGGAGACAACAAGGCATTTCAACTCCATTCTCAGCCACCGCCATCGCCAACCTATCGTCGGAGACAGATAAATCACGTCTCCCTTCCTCTCACCGATCGACCGTGGAAAAGGAATACCGCCGGCGTAAATTTCAGATGCTCCCGCGGGAATTTGGTAGAGTGTTCCCCAGCTTTACCGCTAACTTAATTAATTCCTTATTTGATCCCGGAATTTTGTAACCATCACCAAGTTAGTCCCTTTTCACTGTTTTAATTTGAACTATTTCGTCCGTCAAATGTAACAGTCAGGTCAGCGTATGTTCAGTTAAAAGTGGGGTCCACAGTCGGGCGAAATTTTCCCGCGCGAGCTTCTGAAATTTACGCCACCGGTGGATTGACCTGAAATTTGTGGTCTCCCCAATTTCTCCGAACCAACAGATTGACTGATAAAAAGGAGAAGGAGCTGCGCTAAAGCGAGAGATAAAAAGAGTGGGGAAATGGTGGATCTGCCTCCGCCAAGAGGTTGATATCAATGGCGGCCACGGAAAACCTTGGCTCCAAAAATCCGACTCTATTCTGCTAGATTGTGATGGAAACAAGGTACGGAATTTCAAGTCACCCATTAGCACGAAATAGACGCGAATAGGAATTCAGCGTAGCCTAATCGTGATCAATCATCAACGTGAACAAGAATGGTGAATGCATTGACAAAACCTCGACCTGCATTTTGGTATCCGAAGCTGTTGTTGAGCTGCATAATGCTGCCTCGCAAGAGAGCTGCTTGCTGCTGCCTTCTTTCCCGAAACAATGTGCCCCCTCTTCTCTCTTCCAGTCTTCCTAACATGTGTCCCACGAAACAAGCGTGTAAAGCAAGAAGCATGCTATGAAACAAGTAACAGCCAAACCTCAAAACTGAACATTTGCTGCAAACTGAACAAGAACAACAGAAATCAGCAAGATTCGAGGTTCTCCTATAATCCAATTCGTTCAGGTCTACTGAAACGCATACAAATAGATTGAGATTCACAACAAAAAAACCCCTATAAAATCATGATAAACACCTAGTCACTGGGAAAACAAAGTTACAAACCTTACACAAAGTCCCAAGGATTCAATCAACCGACTCCCAGCCTGCACAATAATCTTCCAGATGCGCAACACAGCTAAAAACATTGCTGCTTACTTATGTAGCGGCATGATCAGCAACTGCACTCCCTTTATTCAGACTAAAAAGGCGACACTTTCATTTTCTAACGCACTCTTGAACAAAAAGATCACCAGAACAAAGAGTTCTTCAAGCCCTCTTACATGCATGAATTACCTATGTCATGTAATCTTCCATTCTGCTATTATGCCCCTTCACTGGGAATGTAACCTTCACGCTGCTGCAACCAATCCCTATCACATGAAACAATGATCAACTTTCCACATCAATAACAGAGCAGAAACCAGGAAGGGGGGAAAAACAAGATGGAGCTATCAATACAGTGATGCAAGAAAATATAATAATCAGCTTAGGTCATCCCCACTCCAGACCAGCCCTCACAGCCAAATAATTAAGCATGAGGGAGTGGCTTTCATATTTATTCAACAATACAACAGTTCCTTCAAAATTGTATCCTATACTTCATCATCCATCTGCTTTAAATCTTACACAGATATTCGTGCTCAATGGTCCTACTAAAGCAAACTAAATTACTTATGACGAATATCTCACAGAAAAAGTATATAAGAAAAATCTTCTCATAATCATACCATTTAAACTATTTTCATGCTACAGAAGACAGTCAGTCGCGGTAGTCACGTCGATTGTCTCTGCGTCTGTCGTATTCATGATGTGGGTCATCGTCATATCTGGCTCTCTTGGAGGAAACCACCCGATCATCTTTACTTTGTTGCTGGCCTTCTTCCTCCCTTTCCTGCCTCCGAGTTCCATGTTTTTGAACATCATCATTGTCAGTAAAGCTTTTTCGTTTTTCACCATCTTGCTCGACTTTATCATTCCTTCTAGTTCTATGACCATCTTCTTCCTTCCCAGCATGCCTCTTGTCCCTTCCACGTTCTTCCCTAATGTCTCTGCTGTCACGATTTTCCCTAGTGTCTCTTCCACGTTCTTCCCTAATGTCCCTTTTATCACTTTGACGATCTTCTCTTGCACCCCTTTTGCCACTCCCATGCTCTTTCACGAAATCCCTTTTTTCTCTTCCATGTTCCTCTCCGAAGTCCCTTCTGCCACTTAGATGCTCTTCTCTAGGATCCTGCTTGTCTCTTCCACGTTCTTCCCTAGCATTCCAATCGTCCCTTCCAAGCTCTTTCCTAACGATATCTGGGTCACTTTCCCGCTCCTCTCTGGTGTGGCTTCTGTCCCTCCCCCCTTCTTCCTTGGAGTCTTTTTTATACCTATCCCGCTCTTCCCTATAGCCCTTATTCTCCCTCCCATGTCCTTCACGATATCGTTGGCGACTTTGACTTCCATATGGAGATTCATCACCCTTACACTCTGTTCTCTCTGCATCCCCAACCTTCTCAGAGATACCATCCCTGGACTTAAGCGACCTAGAGTAACGATCATGACCAAAGTCATCCTTATCCCGGTACAATTTACTATCCAATTCTTCTTCAACAGTATTATCTTTTTTACCACGGCCAGTTTCTCTCCGAACAGTCTGCTTTCCAAGATCCAGATCTCGCTTCCCTTCTCTCATTCCATCAAAATGCTTCTCATTGTTCTTCGTCCTCACTTTTTTGTCATCAGACCGATCACTTGCAGAGTCATAATCAGCACCATTCTTAGTTGATTCCCTTCTGTGTTCTCTATCACCATTCTTAGCTGATTCCCTTCTGCGTTCAATATGTTTCTCCAGACCTGATTCATTGTCCACGTCAGAGTCTCGGTTCTTCAAATGGACTCCTGCACCTAAAATTTTCTTTTCCCTTCTTTGGTTCCCATCACTAGAACCTTTGAGCGCTTTAAGGGTGTTTTTCCTCTTAGCCGAAACATCAGCATCAGAGTCATCATCAGAGTCATGTCGCCTTCTTGTTTTGGCATGTTGTCTTGTCTCCTCAAGTCTATGTCTGGATGGCTCAGATTCAGAATCAGAATCAGAGTCAATGTCATGCCACCTCTGAGATTTTCTTCTTTTCTCTGATTGAACTTTTGGATTATTCTTCCCATCATCACCCTCACTGTCATCAGCAGAAGAATCATCACTTTCACTACCACTTCTAATTTTCTTGGGCTTCCTCGGGATACCATTCTTCTTTGGCTTTTTCTTCTTCTTGGCATTGTCTGAATCAGTGTCGTCATCATATGATGAGTCATCCCTCTTCCGGCCATGCTTGCCGGTAGTGTGCTTGTCTGAAAAAATTTTCTTCCCATCATCAGAGTCAGTATCATGGCCAGATTCAGAATCATAGCTGTCTTTTCGATGTCTTCTGCCCTTGCGATGCTTCTTTGAAACTCGGTTCTTCTTGCCATAATCTGAATCGCTGTCAGTGTAATCTGAATTTTTTTTCTTCCCATCATCAGATTCAGTATCATGGCCAGAATCAGAATCATCGCTGTCTTTTCGATGTCTTCTGCCCTTGCGATGCTTCTTTGAAACTCGGTTCTTCTTGCCATAATCTGAATCACTGTCGGCAGCACTACTACCGCGTCTAACTTTGCGATGCTTCCCTCGAGTCACTTCACCCTCCTCCGCATTGCTACTAATATCAGATTCTGAACCATGACGACGTCTCTTTTTCTTGGCTTTTGCCATTCTATCTTGTCCCGCCTCATCAGCTTCATCAGCTTTCTTCCTACTTTTTGCAGCACCAGCTGCCCTCTTTTCAATGTCCAGATCTTCAGCAGCATCTTTCTTCAATTTGAAATCTCTATCCAGGAAGGCATGTTCCGGTTTCTTAATCCACTTACTCCCATCATTCTTCCCACCAGCAAATGGTCCATCATCACTCAAATCAGCAACATCTTTGTTGGGATCAGTTGACTGAATTCCTAGAGCAGCCCTCAATGTTTCCATCTGTCTCTCCTTCCTCGCAGCAACTTGGTGAGACTGTGTGTTGGAAATCCTAACCAAAGAAATAAAAAATTCAGATATTAATCCCATGTAGGATGGGGCCAATTTTACAAAATTCACAAACACCAAAACTCCTATGAAAAAAGGACTCACAACCAAGTTGTCATAAACAGGACTACTGACGAATGACCACGGGAAGCAACAGAGAACAGCTGTGGGAGCGCAGGCTTGTATATTAGAAGCACAAACAAGTACATGCAAGATACAGAGCAACTATGAGTCCCCTATTATGGCCACTTCTACCTCATTTAGAACAAAGATAGATTCTGCTGCTTAACCAACTTATAACAGAACCACAACGGGGGGGAAAAAAACAATGGAAATTGGTTGCTTACTTAGCGTCTCCTGAGATCAAAGAAGTAGGTCCACCACTTCCCTCGGAGGCCGATGCTGCTTCCAACGTCTTCCTTGCTTCCTCCATCTTCTCAGCAATCTCAGCATCAGTATAACCTTGCTCAATCAACTTGTCCTCCAGCACCACGAGCTTGAGCTGAATCTGTCGCTTGCGGTCGTGCTCAAGGATGTCCTTGTTGGGCTTTTTGGATATCCCTGCAGTGCCCTGGTCTTCATCGAATCCCCTGGAAGCATGAGCGACCTTGTCCGTCCTTGGCCTCACAAAGAACCTATTGGTCTGGATGTAACCATTAGTTCCCGACCCCCTTGCCGTCTGCAATCCTATCCCGTTGTACATCTTGACGCTTCAACACCGCTTACACTCGCTGTTCAATAACAAAATTAATCATAGCTGTAGGCAGGGTTGGAAGCGATAACCAAACAAAAAAAAAAAAGGGAACGGAGCTTTCGACAGTGGGAAACCGGAAAAGGGAAGTGGGCTCGATTTCTAGCGCAAGAAAAGCTTACATTCTGGAGTTGGGAGGGAGGGAAGACGATGAATGCGGTCAGGAGAATCAGACGCCGGAGGAGATGATGGAGGAAGAAGGCCAGGCCACGGCCGGGCGGATTACGACGCGAATCGGCAAATTTTAGGGTTTAGCCTTCGTCTCGACCGAGCAGACAGCAGGCGAAGGCGGATGAGATTTGATGACTGGCAAAGCACCGAAACCGGAGGGTGACGCGAATCGGCAGCGAAGCGACGGCGGCGTCCGATGAGGGTTCACGATCGACTCATGAGAGAGAATTGCGAGGCAGAGCAGACAAAGGAAGGCAGGGAAAGGCTCGTGTCGATAATTTGGGGACCGAAGGAGAGTAGGAGAGAGGCAGAGGGCGACGTCGTTTTGCTGCTTCTGGGTGCTGGCCGGTTAGTTTCCAGTTTATCGGTTTAACCGGTCATGAGATTAGCTTTTATAAAAATCGGAAATTCCTTTTCGTCTTTCGATTACGATTACCTTGTCCAATTAGAATTCTGTTTTATTAATTTCGATATATATAAGCACATTGTCACCCATTTTCACACGGAAGCAGGGCGCAGCAAAAGAAAAAAAAATCATCGTGGGTTCTCCTCTCCTCCCCACGACTGGCGGTTCCACCCCCAGCACCTCGCCGTTGTGCGACCCCAATCTCGCGTTCTCCGGCGACGTGCCTCCGTTTTCCCAGCGGTCAGGCTCCCTCATGGGCTCTCCAATCGGCCTTTTAAGGCTCCGATTGGGTTACGATTTTCATTGTTCGCATCCAATTGATTTCCCCTCTTCCCTAGCTGCTAACCCTAAATTTCGATTTACAATGGCTGCCGAGCTTGTGGCTGTCTACAATGATGCTGTCATCGCCGTGGCGGAGGAAAGAGCCGAACTGAGCCTACTGGGTAAGGTCCACGGCCCCGCTCCCTCCATCGGCAGTCTGCAACATTTCTTGGTGGATCTCTGGAATTGCAGGGGAACGCTGACGGTTCTCCCAGTGGATGAAGGCCTAACCCAGTTCATCTTCTCCGAAGCCTCCGACCTCAGACATGTCCGAGACAAATCCCCTTGGATTCAGCCTCGCTTCCTCATTCACCTCCGCCCCTGGTGTGTTCCATCTATGGAAATTGCCGAATCCCTTTTCCAAGTTCCTCTTCATGTACAATTCTGGAAGGTTCCCACGACTGGGCACACAGTTCTGATGGCCCGTTGCCTGGGCTCTACTATGGGTGACCTCAAGGAGGCGGCGGTTCATGTTGGCCGCAAAACTGGGGGGGTTTACCTCCGGGCCAAGGTTGCTGTGGACATTGCAAAACCACTGCCGCTCTCCGTCTCCGCGTCTCATGAAGATCGCAGTAAGGGAATTTTCAAAGCTTCTGTTCTTTATGAGAAACTGCCTCTGTTTTGCTTCTGTTGTGGTGTTATAGGCCATACAAGTGCTCGCTGTGAGTTCATTGCTGAGTTTGCCGGGAAGGAACTGCCTTACGGGAGTCACATCCTCGCTTATGACAAGGGCTCCAGAGTGGATGAGCACACCCTGAGGAAGAAGATAACCCGTTTTTCCTGGAATAGACCCGGCTTTGAGAGACCTCAGGGCCAACTTGGCCGACGTGCTACTCCCTCCACGGAAGCTCCGCTAGGATCCCACAACAGGAACACTTCTGGAATGCGGCACTTATCCTTGGGCCCTGCTGCTCCTGGATCATCATCTTCAGCCCCTGCTTCTTATAACCGCAAAAGGGATACTCTGGAAGATGGCGAAATCCCCCCAGCACCTAAAGCATTATGTATGGAAGAGCCGGGTGAACAGCTGACTACTTTTGTTACTTCTGATCAGGTGGAGGAAACCGGCCTTGCTCGGTCCCAAACCCAGATATGAGTATCCTGGCTTGGAACTGTCGAGGATTTGGCAAATCCTTGGCGCGAAGGTCCCTTCTGAGTGCCACATATAGTAGATTTCCTATGATTGTTTTCCTCTGTGAGACAAAGTGTCGTGACAGGAAGGTTAAGAACCGTCTCACTCGCTTAGGTTTTCCAGATTCTGTCTTAGTCAGTCCTGTGAACACGTCCGGGGGCATGGCGGTAGCTTGGTCTCCTGATGTTGTCTGTACAGTAGTGTTTCAGTGTCTTTCGTTTATGGTTGTGGACTGTGTCCATCCAGTTTATGGGTCTTTTTACATTGTCTTTGTGCACTTGAGTTGTAATGAAGGTGAACGGTCGGATCAATTAAATGATATTTCTAGCTATCTCCTTCCCTTAGCCTCCCCTTTCTTTATTATGGGTGACTTTAATTGTCTCTTAGCATCATCTGAAAAGATTGGAGGTCGCAATCCATCTCCCCATTCGTTAGCCTTGCTGCAAAACTTCCTTCTTCGCCATAATTTGCAGGATTTGGGCTTTCATGGTCCTCCGTTCACTTGGTCGAATCGACGGACAGCACATGATCACATCATGGAACGCCTTGATCGGTGTTTGGCATCTCCATCAGCCATTACAACTTGGACAGGTATGCAACTTCATCATCTCTCTGACTTGGGATCTGACCATCGCATGATTCTTCTACAGTTCCATCCAGCGGTAGCTCGTACAAAAGCGAACTTTCACTTCGACGCTCGGTGGCTTGACAATCCTGAGGCTATAGACATTATAGAAAGGGAGTGGCATAGCTATTGCAGTGGAACTTTGCAATTTCAACTCCACAACACCTTGAAGCTTTCCCGTCACCAACTCTACCATTGGGCTGCAAAAGGGACATCCAATTCAGCTAGAGCTATCCGGGAGCTGCAGGATGCCATCTCTACCCTTCGTGAGAGCCATCCAGTTGATTGGGATGCCATTCGTCAACTTGAACAACAATTATCGGAAGCTTACCTTCAAGAAGAACTATATTGGCTACAGAAGTCCCGTAACAGTTGGCTCACAGAAGGGGATACCAACTCGAGGTTCTTTCATATTACGACTCTGCAACGAAGACGTAAGAATAGGATCCTTTCACTTCGTGATGACAATGGAGTCACATACACAGACGAATCTGCCAAAGGTATGCTTGCTGTCCAGTATTTCATCAATCAGTTTACGGCAGAATGCTCGAACGTTCAATCCTTTTTAGACTGCTTAGGACTGCCAATTATGATTACTGATGCTATGAATGCTTCCTTAACTGCTAATGTTACAAGAGAGGACGTCTCTTCTGCTGTGTTCAATATTGGTAGCTTTCAAGCCCCAGGTTCAGATGGATTTACCGGCATTTTCTTCCAAAGTTTTTGGAATTTAGTGGGTAACTCTGTTGTTGCTGCAGTTCAAGAATTCTTTAACACAGGTCATCTTCTTCCAAACTTTAACCACACCTGGATCTCTCTGTTACCTAAAGTTCCAAATGCAGAAACGATGCGACAAATGCGACCTATTGGTTTATGTCAAGTACCATACAAGGTGATCTCCAAAATTCTCACAACTCGCCTTGCTGACATTCTTCCCCATGTGGTAAGCCCGTTCCAAAATGGTTTCGTTAAAGGTAGACGGATTTCAGATAACATTCTTATCGGGCAGGAAGTCTTACATTTCTTGAAAACTAAGAAGGCTGACCAGGAAAAATGGATGGCCCTCAAATTAGACATAGAAAAAGCTTACGATAGAGTTGAATGGGATTTTTTGTTGTCAATGTTGCAGCGTTTAGGCTTCTGTGAGCAATGGATTAATTGGATTCGCCAATGTGTCACTACTGTGTCCTTTTCAGTCTTAATCAATGGCTCTCCCCATGGCTTTTTTCGCCCTCAACGGGGCATTCGTCAAGGGGATCCATTATCACCATTGTTATTTGCTCTTTATACAGAGGCTTTCTCTCATTTCATCGATCAAGCGGTGCAAGCGCAGTATTTACATGGAATGAAAGTACATTGGCGCTGCCCGGTGATATCCCATCTTTTCTTCACCGATGATACCTACCTGTTCCTGCGGGCTTCTAATGCTGAATGTCATAACATACTCTCTATGTTTGCTGCCTATGAACAGGTGAGTGGCCAAAAAGTCAATTTGCACAAATCCACAGTCACTTTCAGCAGCAATGTTTCTCCTTCAGATGCGGCATCAATGATTGCATTGCTGGGAGTAGCAGAGAGCACCTCGCAGGATCATTATCTCGGCCTTCCAACCCATATTCAGCGTTCTAAACAAGCAACCTTCCAATTCATTGAAGATAAGTTGGTCTCTCGATTGCAACAATGGAAATCCAAATCTCTTTCTCTTGCTGGGAAAGAAACCCTTTTGAAATCAATTGCCAATGCTTTACCGAATTATGCAATGCTCAGTTTCAGAATGACCCTCACCTTTTGTCGCAGATTAAATGGGCATCTTGCTAGATTCTGGTGGGCTCAACAGGATAGGGATGAAGGCATGAGGTGGGCGTCTTGGCGATCCCTATGCCGCCATAAAAACCAGGGAGGACTAGGCTTTAGAGATTTTGACAGTAATAATAAGGCTCTCCTTGCTAAACAAGCATGGAGAATTCTACAAGCTCCAGATTGTCCTCTAGCTGTGATGTATAAAGCTAAATACTTCTCCCAGACTTCGTTTTTGCAGGCTACACCTGGATCTCGACCTTCTTGGGCGTGGCAAGGAGTTCTAGTAGGGCGTGACCTTCTTCTCCAAGGAGTTCGTTGGCTGATTGGTTCTGGTACTCAGGTCCATATTCTTGACGATATATGGCTCCCTACAACACCTCCTTCTAGCCCCAAGCTTTTACCCCATGCTGCCTTGCAATCTTCTCAAGTCTCGTCTCTCATAGACCATTCAAGTGGGACCTGGAAAGTGGATCTCCTACAGAACCTGTTTGATGCGACTACCATGAAGGTAATTCTCAGTATCCCCCTTCCCCAAATCCCCATGGCTGACAAGCTCGTTTGGCATTATGAGGCTTCGGGGGAATATTCTGTTAAATCCGGATACCACATTGCAGCTTCGGAGTTTGTACAGAACCTCTCTACTATTCCAGTTATCTTTGATTCTCCTGCTTGGAAAGCCCTTTGGGCGCTTCCGGTTCCTCCTAAATTAAGATTTTTCATATGGCGCTTGATCAAAGGTTTCATTCCTGTTAGAGATGTGCTGCGGGATAAAGAAATTATACAAGAAGATGATGCTGATGCTCTTTTGTGTCCAGTTTGTCCTAACCCAACAGAATCATTATCCCATTGTTTTTTGGAGTGTAGAGTAGCCACTGCTTTATGGGAATTAACAGGTTATGGCCACTTACTTCTAATACTAAGCTCACTCCACGTTGCTATTGGTTGGAGGTATTTGCTTTTGGATGCAGGACTTAGTCGCTCTGATCTTACAAGAATAGTGTTTCTATACTGGAGGATCTGGAAAGGGCGGTGTTCTTCCTCTTATGATTCTATCCAGTTCCTTCCCACTACTCTACTGAGACAATTTAATAGTCAAGTTGATGAATGGATCTCAGTTCAGGAATCGGGTTCCGTGCGTCGCCGCCTTAACCAACCAATCTTGCCTCCGAATCGCAGTTCAGTCCCACCACCCATTCCTGCAGGATTCATGCTAGTCCATTTTGACGGTGCCACAAAGGACTCATTAGGTGGTGCAATTGGATTTGTAGGCTTCTCCGAACAACGAGCCATTTCCTTTGCCTATGGCCGTTTCTATGCAGAAACTTCTGACCCTTTCATCATGGAGTTAATGGCGCTCCGTGACGCCATGCGTTGGTGTCTCTCACATTCCATAACTAATGTATTATTTTGTGGTGATGCGCAGGTCGTGATCCGGATGGTTTCGGCAAATGACTCGTCTCACGCTTTGGGGGGTGCCATTCTGAAAGAGATTCAGGTGCTGCGAACATCTCTCGCGCGTGTGTCGTTTCATTTTGCTCCTCGTAGGTATAACAGGGCTGCCCATACCGTGGCAAGATCGGCCCTTTCATCGATGGTTCGGCTACTGGTTGACCATCGTTTTGCTCTTTTTTCTTTGTCCTGACCTTCTGGGTCTTGTATATACTCGTATCTTGCTATTCCTTTCGGAATATCTCTGGCAAAAAAAAAAAAAAAGCACATTGTCACCCGTCAGTTCTAAACTTCTCCGTCGGATCACCACGCCGCGGGCGCCGGAAACCCGCTTCTCGTTTCCAGTATGTCTCAATCAACCAAAAACCCAGGTAAAAATCAGCCAACCCACGACCAGAAAGAAACGATCTATAGAGTATAGACGGATTAGGAGAAGAGTCGCGTGTCCCATGTGTTCATTCGTTTGTTTGTTTGTTTGTTTGTTTGTTTGTGCACTCTGATTATAAGTCCAGTGCTCAGCGTTCGGACGAACAATGGTGTCATGCCTCATCCTGTCGAATGCCGGAAGAAGCGTCGACTGCTTGAGCTAGGGATTTGATTCTTTTCTTCTGTGTTATTTATGTCCCCAGCTGTCGAGGAGAAGAGGGTCACAATTTCAAACAAGCACGGCGAGAAGCTGGTAGGAGTGCTGCATGATTCTGGGTCCAAGGAAATCGTTGCTGTGTGCCATGGCTTTCAATCCACAAAGGTTTGACCTGTAATCGATATCCTTTTTTAGCAAATTCATACGTACTGTGAGTCGTTCTTAGTGATTTGTGTTTGTGTTTGTTTCCTTCTAATCTCCAGGACAACACAAACATGAAGAAACTTGCTAAAGCATTGGTCAAGGAAGGAATCTCAGCCTTTCGATTCGACTTTGCTGGTAATGGGTAAGCCTGCAAAAGTCTCTTCCTACTCAAAGCTCTCGTTTTGCTTTTGTTTCTCTACATTGATGATCAAGGTCAATTGATACTAGGTTGGAAGGCTCTTTGCCTGGCCATTTCTTGCAGATAGAGCTGCTGCTTGCTGCTTGCTCATTCGTTTTTATCTCATTTGTCTGATTTACAGGGACAGTGAAGGTACATTTGGTTATGGTAACTATTGGAGAGAAGCTGATGATCTCCACTCTGTGGTCGAATACTTTGCTGGAAAGAACCGAGTTGTTAGTGTGATTCTCGGCCATAGTAAAGGTAATTGGGCGTCTCTTCCCAGTACATTGTCGGGCCCTAATTCAGTAGAGAATTTCTTGTTCTGATTCACCCTGTGTTGTGCTGTTCTGCTGCAGGAGGGAACGTGGTGCTCCTTTATGCTTCAAAATTTCATGATATAAAGACCGTTGTCAATATCTCTGGCCGCTATACCCCGAAGAATGGCATCAAGGAGCGCCTTGGAGATGACTTTCTGGAAAGAATCAAGAAAGAAGGTTTCATTGATGTGAAGGATAAAAAAGGTGACTTTATTTCACTCTTTCACGTTTGAGTTCCCCATTCTGGGGGGAATGAGTAAGCAAATTGCAGCAGCATGCTGAATACCAAGTTACCTGAATCTCACTGTCTGCCCTATACCTTTTGAGTTCTATAGGGGAAGTCTTGTACCGTGTTACTGAAGAGTCTTTGATGGATAGAATCAACACAGACATGCATAAAGCATGCCAGCAAATTGACCAAGATTGCAGGTGGGTGCAAACTATAACTAGAAAATTTTCTTAATCTGTAATCACAATGATCGTTTCATCTGAAGTTGATGATGATCTCTGAGTGCATCCGTGATTAGATTTAGGTGTTGTCTACTTGTTTTCTGATGTGCTGATGCTCTCTTTACTGTATTGTATTGACAGTGTGCTCACCATCCATGGATCTGCTGACACGATTGTCCCTGCTGGAGATGCATCAGAGTTCGCAAAGGTCATACCGAACCACAAGCTACACATCATCGAAGGTGCTGATCATGGATATCGTTCTCATCAAACTGAGCTAGCATCTACTGTTTTGGAATTCGTAAAATCAAGACTGCAGCAGCAGCATGACAAGAGCTCTACTATCTAGACAACTTTCTGGAATTCCAGCAGTTGTAGTTTGCTGCTGTTATTCTCATTAACATCATAACAGTAGCGCTATAGTTGATATTAGATTGATTTCTTTTTTGGAGGGGATGCATGAAATGCTGCTCTAATGTATTAGTCACTGCTGAGACTTGCTGGTGCTGTCACAATTGGGAGCTTGACCATTGAACTTGTTTATAGTTTAGACCCCGATACATGAACTTTATATTTAACTAGTATTGAGCTCTTCTGTTTAGGCATTTCAATACGTAGACTTCCTACCTAAAAGAAAGCCAATACATATCAATTGACAATCATTGTGACATTTTCGACTATTCAACTACATATCATAGTCCATGAAACCGTACCGGAGACCGTACCGGGAAAGTCAGTGGTAGGGTATTTTATGGTAAAACCGTGATTTAACCGTAGTTCAACCGTTATACCGGTAAATACCGTCTACCAGTTTAGCCTCCGATACTGATATTTCGTGGTTGAACCGCCGGTACGGTACGGTTTCATGGACACTGCTACATATCTGCTGATCTTATCTATTTAGATGATGCATTTTTCATTTTCGAGTACTTATCGATTGACAATCTTTGTGAGTAAGTATTAAACAGATAATGCTAAAATAAATGCATCAATTATCCTACAATACAAATTGATTTCTTTTTGGAGGGGATACATGATGTAAATATGTTTAATTTGTTAAAAGTTCGGGTCATACAAATATATTAACCCTTAGATCTAATTATTGCAATGCTACCCTATGGGACCATTAGCACATAAAAATTTATGTATCAACATTACTACTAGAATTGTAATTTCATGTACCAATTTATCCTTATATTATGAAATTTATGTATAAAAGTGATCATCAACCTACAAATGTTTAACCGTCAAATTCATCTTCTTCCCTAGAACGAACGCGATACTGAAACCAGCACCCAAGTAACAGTAATTCGTTCTCGTTACAGCCACAAAAGGGCGATGCAAGTTCAGCTGAGGCTCCACTGTTTCCAGTCCCACTAGGTGTGCTGTTTTCTCTCTTTGGCTGCCATACATGGATGATTTCTTCTTATTGTTCGTCTTCATCACCACCATCATCTTCTAGTTCAGAGGATTCAATGTTCGATCACTTCATTGTTCAATGGTTTCTAGATGCTGCCTCTTCCTCTGGGCGTGGAAGAGACCAAACAAACTTATTGAGAGGGTTCTTCTAGATCTCAAATAACAACAAGATATTCGCTTCTTGTCACTTCTTATTCTATTCGCAGTGGAGAAGAAAAGTAAAAACCCCAATACTCAATGGCGTCCAACGTGTTTGTTTATAATTCGATCGAGTCACTCGTTCCCAAAAGCTCTAATTTCTCACTGCCTTCACTTCCTATTGCACAGCAGGTACCCGTCTCCGTCTCATCACCCTGCCGCCGGCGCCGGATATCCGCTCTCGTCACCAGTATGGCGCAGTCTACCCAAAACCCAGGTAAAATCATCGAACGCAAAGCCAGAAAGTGACGATCTTTAAATGGATTAGGGTACGGGTCGTGCTAATTAAGTCTATTGCTTAGCGGTAGCGACAATGGTTTCCATCCTTTTCTTCTGCAAACTCTTGTAGAACTTCATAGTTCTGTTGGGTCAGTGATGCAATGCCGAAAAGTTGTTGGAGGTTTGAGTTGCAGGATTGATTCCTTAGCTTGTTTTGTGATTTGGTTCCCCGTCATTTTCCCGCAGTGGTTCTGCAGAATAGAGTCATAATTTCAAACAAGCATGGTGAGAAACTGGTCGGATTGCTGCATGATTCTGGGTCCAAGGAAATTGTTGTCCTGTGCCATGGTTTTCAATCTTCCAAGGTTTGGCTTGTAATCTATATATAGGTTGTGCGAAATCGGAAATACTAACTGTCATCCTTCCGGATCTGGAGTGATTTGGAAAGGAACACGAGGGAAGTAGAATTAGTGACTGGATATTTTGTTTTTGGTATTCTGATCTCCAGGACTACACAGCCATGTCAAACCTTGCTAATGCATTGGAAAAAGAAGAGATCACAGCGTTCCGATTTGACTTTGCTGGTAACGGGTAAGCAAAAAGGTCCTTCCATTCATAGCTCTGATATGAATTCTGCAATGATGATGAAGGTCATTTCGTTCTGCCTTATGCAAGATGCTTCAAAGCTCTTTGTCAGCGATTTTCTTCTTGCAGATAGAATTGTTGTTTGTTCAGTGTTCCAACTGTACATGTCTCATTGACAGGGAAAGTGAAGGCACATTTGCTTATGGTAACTATGGGAGAGAAGCTGATGATCTGCGCTCTGTAGTCGAACACTTTGCTGGAGAAAACCGAGTTGTTAGTGTAATTCTCGGCCACAGTAAAGGTGCTTGAGGGTTGTTTCCCAGTACATGAACAGGCACTAATTTCTTCGAATTGTTTTTCTGATTATCAACCAACTTGTGAGTGGGATGCAGGAGGGAATGTGGTGCTCCTATATGCTTCAAAGTTCCATGATATCAGGAACGTTGTAAACGTTTCTGGACGCTATGACCTGATGAGAGGCATTGAGGAGCGCCTCGGGAAAGACTTTCTGGAAAGAATTAAGAAAGAAGGGTTCATTGATGTAAAGAATCAAGCAGGTGACTTTTATTCCTTCACGCTGAATTCCCATTTGGGGAAATGAGGGAAATATATCTGCAGCTGAATGTTTGTCTGCCACCATTCGTTTTCTGTAGGAGAAGTCAAGTATCGTGCTACTGAAGAGGCTTTGATGGATAGACTGAATACTGATATGCACAAGGCATGCCAGCAAATTGATCAAGATTGCAGGTGGGCGGAACTAAAATTGAATTCTTTAAAGTTTGTTTCCATTATATCGATGGTTACTTAATGTTGCACAGCCTGAATTCAGTAATAGCAAACTGCATTCTCTGAGTTTAGTTAATGTCACACAGGCCGAAGTTGATGCTCCGTGAGCAGCCATGATTAGGTTTTGTATGCTTTTACTGATTTGCCATTGCTCTCCATATTGGCAGTGTTTTGACAATCCATGGATCTGCTGACGAGATTATCCCAGTTGAAGATGCATTAGAATTTGCCAAGATCATACCAAACCACAAATTACACATCATCGAAGGGGCTGATCATGGATACAGCTCTCATCAAACCGAGCTAGCGTCTGTCGTTTTGGAGTTCATAAAATCAAGACTGCAGCTGCATGACAAGAGCTCCACTTCCTAGGAGCTTCATCGATTTGACCCAACTGCTATTTGCTATTATCTCATCAAACAATATAACATTAGCTCTGTTCTCTATCATATCAGATTGGCGATTGAAGAGAGATGCGGCTTGAAGTTCTGCTGAGGCATTGATTAGTCAGGAGCCTAGACTTCCCAGTGATATGCCTGTGCCTGTCCTTACTCCTAAGAATAGAACAAGTTGATCTTATTTCAGGGGTTGACTGTGGTACCCTAATAGCAATTGCATTGGCTTTCAAAGCCTACTAGGAACCTACATGGTAAATGGATTGCACGAAAGTAGACTCATTTGCACTGTTGTCTTGTCTATTGGGTATGGAATGCCACATGAGATTGTATCTTATCTTCACCTTCTACTTTCTAGTACCGAAATTACGATGACTATAGTATATTAAGCTATACGAAATGAATTTCAAGAGTCTAAAGCCATACTAGATAAGCTAAGAGTCTAGAACACATGCCATCTCGCTAACATTCAAAGATAAAGAGAGATATCCGATCGTACCATTTGGGTGGATCGCTGGACTGCTTGGCGAGATTGAAGATTGGGTGCCGTGCTATACAAGTTGGCTTCTCAAAATCTGCCTTGTACAGAAATTATCTTCAAGAATCTGCTTTTTACAAGTTGGCTTCTGGAGAAGGGAAAAGTAAAACTCTTGCTGAACAATGAATGAGAAGCTATCTTGTCATTCATATGGTCAACTCGTTTCAGTCTGATCCAAATGGTCTATTTGAGGAGCTCGGCTCTGTGGCTGTAGGTGATGAGGAAGATAATGATGATGCAGGCCGTTGCAGGGCTATCAGGATTCAGGAATCCGAATCACCCATTCGGATGACAGTTGGGCCGATTTACAGCCATGGGTCCTGGTTAAGAGAAGATTATGGAGAGCCCAATACAGTTAGGCCCATTTGTGCAGCAATCAGTAGCCAGAGCAAATCCCGCCCTCGTTGCCATGCCAGCTCAATCCCTTACATCTTCTTGAGAAGCAGAATATAAGCATTGACTCACACAACATATGAAGTCTTTACAATGATTTCTGTAACTTCTTCGAGAATTTGAGATGCGACCGTGTGAGACATGCAACCATTTACTTATGATGAGAATCAATCGGTCATATCAAGCGTTTGAAAATTCTACATTCCACGAGAGAACAAAATACATTGAAATACATTGTCACCTTCATAGAAAAAAATATATATGCACAAGTCATCAACATCCTCGATGTCCCTTGTACCCATCAATCTCCACGGGTTAACATTACCATCACCTATTCCTCGTAAATTGTTCATAATCTGAGTTAACAGTTAAGCATAGAAAAAGTTCCGATGTCACAACTCGTGATACAAAAAAGGTACCACTATTTTTTTTAATTAAAATATAAAATATAATTGTTTATTACATAACCAAATGTCAGCTCCACAACTCTTTTTTTAGAATAAAATTTAGAGTGGGGATTCACAGAACTACTAAATTCATCAGATATTCATGTTTTTTTTTCTACTTTTTCTATCATAGATTTTAGGTTCGGAGATTTTGAATCTCCAAAACTCTCATAAATGACTAGATTTTACATTTTGATTTCGGATAACCAAAAAAGAATAAGATTTGAACGATTTTGATTTCGATTTCTAGGCAATTCAATTTTCAATCACTAATATTTTTTCAATTCGGTTAACCGAAACGCCGCACCTACTTGAAACTTCAGCTATTTTCTCCAATAATTGTGACAATACAAAGGCAAAAACCTTCCATCATTGAGTCTTCCCCACTTTTCTCTCCCTTTGTTTCGGTGGCAAACTTTCCGACCCAACACACACAAACAATATACACTTCCCTTCGTGTGCATGGTATGATGGTGCCACCTTGGAAAGAGAAAAAAAGGATAGATATGGCGCCAGCGCATGCAGCAGCCGCGATTATTCCTTCTGTATCCGATTAATCAACACTAATTAATTAACCTAATCTTTGAGGAGCCCCCACAGAATGTTATGATTGTGTTGTGTTTTAGACAGACCTTAAAGCGACCTTTTGGTGCCAGCAGGCCGGCAGGCAGTATCTAAAAAAAAAAAAGGAGAGACGATCGATATCCGATCCGATCGCACTGAAACTGGGATCTGTTCTGTTCCTCCGATCCGTCCCTAAAAAGAAAAGGAACACTTTCGCCGCCGGCCACTCGTGCAGTTTTTACGTGTGAAATCATTCTCTGATAATGATGAAGCAGCTAAGCTAGGCTATAATTAAGCTGCGAATTCGACAGTATAGCTAAGGTAGGCGGACGTTTCCATGGCGCCGTTCATATTGCCATCATCAAGTGGATTGGATCGGATCGAGTAGCACTACTTAGATTAGAGAAGACGACATTTTTCAGAACAAGGGGCAGCAGCAGACATCTAATCATTAGGGTTTCTAAAATTGACTTTTTTTTTTTGTGTGATCGGATTCATCAGATCCTCCTTCCCGGGCGGCCGGCCGCTGCACAAGTTAAAATGTAGCTTTAGATACCGACAAAACCCAGATCTGTAGACCAAGGAAAATTATGGCCCATGTACTCCACTATATCTATTAGGGGTGGGCATTGGGTGGGTCGGGTGGATTTTGACCATAAAATGCACCCACCCGCGCTTAAACGGATTGATAATTTTTAACCCACCACCCACCCACATTTAGTCTCGGGTTGGGTCGGGCGGATGGTGGATGATGCGGGTGGGTTTGTGGGTTCACCCACATCACAATGTATATAATATAAAGGAGTCAACTTGACATGATAATAGGTGAAGAGAATCATCGAGGGAAACAAGAAGTTGAAATAGGGCGAAAAATGTCGAATTAGTTCTTAAATTGGATAGAAATTCTATTATGAAAGAGTTTTCTATAGATTGAGACGATTATTAGGTGCAAGGAACTAAGGAAAATAATTCCACAAAAGAAAGAGCGGTGATCTAGGCTCAAGAATTAGAGGAAAACGTAAAAGGAAGAAGAGGGGATCTCTATTTGGAATGTTGATTTTGAGGTTCAAACTCCAGGAGCAGTCCGAGTTTATATCTAACGTCTTCATTCTCCTCTCTCTAGCACCAACGACTTTGATCTTTTTGCTGTTGGGTTGAGCGGGTCACCCGCACATTCACCCACAACCCACCCACCACCCGGCGGATGGCTCCCAGCGCAACCCGTCACCCACCCACAGACCCACCCACTTAACGAAATTCGGGTCAAATGCGGGTGGGTCGGCCCAAACCCGCGGATGATCCGCCCGCATGCCCAGCCCTAATATCTATATTGCTTGCGCCTAGCTAATTCCTCTATAGCATTATGATTATTATATGTGTTGTTAGAGCTTGCCAAGGTAAAGCTTTTAATGCTATTTGTGAAATTGTACCGTAGCGGCGATCCAAACCAATTTTTTCTAGTTTCGAAAGTTAAATTGATAGGTGATTTTGAGTAGTATTATGATACAATTAAATTACAAGTAACCTACAATTACAACATAAAATACTCCATCATTAATTTTTCCGGTAAAAACCACAATGCTGGTAGATGTTGTCAATTTATAAGAGGCTTATCTCGAGATTCAATGTATTTTTTTACAATGATTTCCCCCCTCCTTTTAAGTGTTTCTAGAATGCATGTATCCAAGTAATTAAAGTAAGTTTAGTTTAATTTCAAATCCTTCAAAATGAGAGAGGTTGAAATCTTACTCTTATGTGAGATTTGGAATAAATGGTTGTAGATGACATTTTGCTTCCAAAATTTATAGTACTTTCGGAGAGGTTCGGCTCTGCTCTAACTTTTGAAGTAAAAAAGTATTTTCAAAAGTCCAATCAAATATAGACTACATATATATGCTTTCCCATAGAACTTTTGCTCTCCTTGGAGTCAAAACTGTGAGGACGATGTACTCAACAGATGTCGTGTGCTATTAAATTGAGCGTTGTGCCTTGCAAGAACTGTCGAATAGATGTGGTGACCTTTTTATCAAATAAAATGTCGCCGTGTTCATTCAACGGTCGCAAAGGACTCCAACCAAATATTGGGATCTTGAAATAAATGGGTCCGTTAATAATTGACTTTGGAGGTCGGTTTATGTTGGTTGACTACTGTTCTAGTACGACTGCTCCAGTTAGGTTTTGTAGTGTAGGTGTCAAAACATGACCCGACCCGAGTAACCCGCCCAACCAACCCGATCCGTGACCCGCCCGCAACCCGATTGGACTAAAAGTCAAAGACCCGCAACCCGCCCGACCCGCAATCTGCTTGACCCGCAACCCGCGTAACCCGCAACCCGCTTGACCCGCAACCCGCTTGACCCAAACCCGATTGACCCGCAACCCGCTTGATCCGTAACCCGCTTGACCCGCAACCCGCTTGGCCCGTAACCCGACTAACCCAAACCCGATTAACCCAACCCGAACCCGCCCGATTGGCACGAATAATACTACATAATATATTTTTGTGCATAAATATTATATGTAAATCATATATATAAAGTTTACTTGACTTGCCCTATTATTTTTTTCATCTTTCCCACCAAGAACAAAGGTTTACTTGCACTACAAGAAAAAGGTCCTTTAACCATGGGAAATCCTGTGTATTTCCAATATACATATATTAACATATAAATTGAAAAGACAACCTCTTGTAACATAAGATTCTAACATTAATGTCAATACAGCCGATACAAATATCATTCATTGATCATTGGTAATTAACATACAATTAAAGGAACTTATTTTTGTAGCATTAAGCTACGACCCAATGAGAACCCATTACAAATCTATGAAATAAAATTTCCTTGCTCTGTTACTATAATTTTCAGATCTGCCTTTTCTTCATCAGTTCCATAATTTTGCTGCTGATTCTCCCCTCCTCAAAGGATTGGAGACCTTCAAGCGTTTTCCACCTTATAAACATTATTCAAATGAGCTAAAAGTTACTTCTATTTAGCAAACTCAACTGCTGAAGCAATATGAACACTTGTCCAGCCCAAGAAGCCAAGAGAAAACAGAGGAGTAGAAGCTACACCCTAGTAACATAACAAGGAAGTAGGATCCAGTTTTCTATTGTCAATTTGTCGCACTTTAATCCAATCATTTACCTGGGGTTCTTCACTTGCTACAGGTGCCCTTAGGTACATCTCTATGAAACTACAAGCCATGGAAAAACCAAACAAGTAAGCCATTGGCCCAATAAACTAGAGCTAAATAAAATATGACAGTTGCAATTTGTACTAATGATGAAAACAACCTGACTTCTACACTTCAGCTAGTAGATTGCTTCTCGTCAAACCAAAAACCAATGCCTACTAACCCACTTCTACACTTCATACCAGTACAAAGTCCAAAAGACATCGACTTTAGCATTTCCAAATCGTCAACCCAAAAACCAATGCCTACTAACCCATTTCAATCTATGGTGGAAGCTCCAATT